CCAGCTCTGATACCAATTGTCACGCCGAATTCCAACCACAAGAGGAATTGTCCGCTTTGGATCAAGTCAATTCCATCCCATATTAGATTGGCAAGACCTGCATAATTTTGTCCCGCAGGTGAAATGGAAAACTTCCTAGAAGGTCACCCATCTTAGGATTTCCATTAAGCAAGCACACTTAACCCTGGAGTTTTTCCAACTCTTCAAACCATTCCACCAAAATGCGCCACTGATAATTAGTTTCCCCCTTTTGATATATGATTCGATTCATTCGCCCCACATTCCTTTACCCATAACTAGCCTGCTATCCTAAAAGCTAGCCAGGAGTTTTGCTTTACCCACCCTCTTAGGATCGCTTTGCCGGGTCGGGATATCACACCGAATGGTTTAATCTATAAGCATAAAGCTAGACTCGTTGTTAAAGGATACTCGCAACAACCAGGAGTTGATTATGGTGATGCATTTGCATCGGTCGTAAGGCATGAAACAATAAGGCTTTTATTAGCCTTAGCAGCTCAAATGAAGTGGAAAGTGTTTCACTTAGATGTAAAATTAGCTTTTCTAAATGGTGAGCTCAAGGAGGAGTTATTTATTGAACAACCTGAAGGGTTTCAAATTTCTGGAATGGAAGCGAAGGTGTAGAAGTTGCACAAACAATTGTATGGTTTAAAACAAGCCCCTAAGGCCTGTTATAACAAAGTTGATTCTCATTTGTTGAAGTGTGGTTTTGTAAGAAGTGAAAATGAAGCAATTTAGTATGTTAATTAGCAGAAAATGGGAAATTAATCATTGAATCAATTTATGTGGATGATATGTTGGTGATTGGAAGTGATTTGAAGTTGGTTGATCAGTTTAAAAAGGAGATGGAAGTTGTGTTTGACATGTTTGATTTGGGCCAAATGGCTTATTTCCTCGGAATGGAGATTAGCCAATCATCTTTAGGCATCTTTATTTCACAGAGGAAATATTCGCTTGATTAGCTGAAAAAATTTAAGATGGAGAAAAGCAAGGCAGTTGCTACTCCATTGACTTAAAATATTAAGTTATCTAAGACAGATAAGGGCAATGAAGTTGATTCAAGTTATTACAGAAGCATAATATGAGTCTTTTGTATTTGACAGCCTCTAGACCGGATTTAATGTTTGCTGCTAGCGTGTTGTCCAGGTATATGCAATCTCCAGCCAAAATCATTTGATCACAACTAAAAGAGTATTGCGATATATGAAGGGCACCTCAGAGTATGGCATATGGTATACATCTGCTAAAAATGGGAAGTTGCAAGGTTTTTCAAATAGTAATTAGGCTGGTTGCCTTGACGATATGAAGAGCACCACTAGATATCTTTTTTTCATTTGGCTCAAGTATTTTTTCATGGGTATCAAGAAAGCAAGATGTTGTAGCTCAATCAACAGCCGAAGCAGAGTACATGGCCATTACTGCTGCTGCCAACCTAGTTATTTAGTGAAGGAAAGTCATTTGATCTGCAGCAGCTTCAACATGAAGTTACTGTCATCAAAGTGGATAATAAATTTGCTATTGCAATGGCTAAAAGTCCAGTACAACATGGAAACACAAAGCATATTAATGTAAAGTTTCATGCTATAAGCAAGCTGAAAAGGATGGAGAGGTGTTGCTGATTCATTGTGGCACAAATGATCAGTTAGCAGATATAATGACAAAGGTTGTGGCTGCTGGAAGGTTTGAAGAAATTAGATTCAAGTTGAGAGTTTTCAAGAAAAATCTTAAGGAGGAGTGTTAAGTGTAAGATTTTTCTAGACACTCCTAAGTTAAGGGATATTTTTAACTGTGCCAAAATTTAGGGGAAAAGGATGGTTGTCCAGAAAATTAAGAAAGTTTTTTTTTTTTTTTTTTTTTTTTTTTTTTTTTTAGGGAAAAGGATGGTTCTGCGCTAGAAAAATTAAGAAAAGTTTTTTTTTTTTTTTTTTTTTTTTTTTTTTATCAAGAGTTAATGGCTGGTTAGTTTGTAATAGGTGTAAAACGTTCCTTTAAACTTTTATAGAGTACTTTTGGTGATTGAAGTTGCTGCAGATTAAGATTAATGAAAAGCAAGGAAAAATCTATTCAAATTCTATATTCTTTTTGTAACCTTTATTGAAAATATGAACAGAAAGCAAACATAATGAATAAAAATGTGAAGTATGGCCAAAGAAAATTGTCTTCAACTGTGATTTTTTTTTTTTTTTTTTTTTTTTTTTTTTTTATCAGAGTTATGGCTGGTTAGTTTGTATTAGGTGTAACGTTCCTTTAACTTTTATAATGTATCTTTTGTGTATGTAAGTTTTGCTGCAGATGTAAGATTAATGAAGCAAGGAAAATCTATTCTAAATTCTATATTCTTTTTGTACTCTTTATTGAAAATATTAACAGAAAGCAAACATAATGAGAAAAATGTGAGTATTGCCAAAAAAATTGTCTTCAAACTTGAAACAATTGTTTCCAAATCCTAGTTTAATAAGGAATCAAGTCCATATGATACAAGTATTATGGATGGAGAAAATCAAGAAATGAGGATGATAATTTCAATATTCAAATCCAGAAAGTTCTTACCCAATTGAGAAAGATGGAAATCAATAAACTTAAAACTGAAGATATCGTTCCTCTTTTAAAAATAGCTACGAAAGTCATGCAAATTCAAACTTTATGTTCTCGAGTGCCTCAGAAAGCAAAAACTTAAACTTTTCTTCCTCCAAAAATCAAACCTTGATTCCTATAGAAAAAAAAAAGAAAAAGAAAAACTCAATCTTTCTATCTGATAATTACCACAATACAATCCAAACATACCAAACCCAAAAAGTCAAAATCCATAATACAATTTAGCACTCATCCTGAAAAAGGCTAGTAATAAATCAGGTGTATAGGAAAAAGAAAAGAATAATTAGACTCGAGAAAATAAAAGTTTGGAAAAATAGGCGGGATAGAAGCTAGATCTCTAATTTATAATAATAAAAATAATAATCCCAAAAAGATCAAAATATATAGTAGATGAGGAGGAGATTGGTTTTGCTAATCCAGCTGAGATTTATCTTGGAACCCAGCTGAGTTTACAGAAATCTAATAATTATTTTTTTGATATGTTGCTTGTTGCTTTGGTTACTTAAATATTAGTTTAATCAGATGTTAACTTGTTTTAGATGGTAATCTATAATTTGTAAGCTTACTCTCATAAGAATATGGACTTAATGGATGTTGATAAAACTTAATCATGTAGTTTTATTTTATTCAGCAACTATGTGAAGTTGATTTATCAATGAAATATATATGTAGAGAAATTTTTTCCTCTCATCTGTCAAATTACAACTTTCTTTCTTCTCGCTTGCTTTGCCATTTCCTTCTTTAATTAGTGTCAGAGCATTCAATCCTTTAAGAGACTGTGAGAGTCTGAAAAAGTGAGAGAAAATAAATAAGAAAACCTCACCAAAAGACCTTAAAAAAAATACAACACTTTCTTGTATTCATTCTAGTGTTTCAGAAACCATATCTTTGCAAGATTCACGATTTGTGACACAGCCAACGAAGCAACTAGATTTTACCTTCACTGTTCCCATGCTGCATGCAGTCGAGTTGTGTCTTTTCTAACAAGGGATTACAATAGCAATGGAATAGTTGGGTAGATTTGTGTTGGTTTGAGAAAAGAGAAATGCTAGCAACTAGGGCCTGGGAACCCTAATGCAATTCAATGTATAATGAAGTTATTATAATTTGAAGTTTCCAACTGTGTTTCTTATAAAAATAAAGTTATTTGCTAAAGAGATGTGCAAAGTACATATTTTTTTGTAGAGAGTGACAAGTAGGATTGCTAAAATTTGGTAGTGCCATGTAGGATTAAAATAGTTAGTTTAGGTCAGATAGGATTTTTAATTCGAAAATGCTTTCAAAATTTATAATCATGGTATATTAATTGTTTTATTTTAATTTCATATTGATTGGAATTAATGTGTGAATAAGCAAAAATATAACTTGCAAGACATAATAATAAATGTTAACACACCAAAGCATAGTTTAGTGGTAAGTACATATACGATCTGATAATAAATCTAGGTTCGAATCCTCTCCCCCAAACTAAAAAAAAAAAAAAAAATTTATGGTAATGAATAGTAATCACTTGACTAAATAAATGATTAAAAAATAAATTAGCAGAATAAAAATTTCTCCACTAAATAACATTGCGATCTCAAAATCATAAATTTTTTATTTAACTATTATTTTATAACATTATTATCATATTTTTTTAAAAAAAATTATTTAATATCATAATAGCAATTTATAAAATTTTAACTATATTTGTTAAATTAAATTTGAATAAATTTTAAAATTATTTATTTACAAATCAATTATATAAATACTAAAAATATTTTAATAAAAATTAAAAAGTGTGATGTAAAGATTTAAATTAAATATTAAAAAATTAATATTTTTTAAATTATTTATACATAGCACAAGCATATAGCTAGTTATACAGTAAAACACCTCATTGACAAGGCTCGGACCGTAGTCCAATCAAATTATCTTAGATAGCTAATACAGGAAAAGCAAGATGAAGGGGAAAAAAACATTTCAGTCTGAGCAAAAATGGGCTAAGGATGGTTCCCAGAGTTTGGTGATTGAAGAGCTATGGCAAATTCCTGATAATTTACATACAAGAAAGTGGTGGTGCAGTGCTTAAAAGGTGGAAAAGAAGCCGGTTTGCAAAAACTGAAATCGAAAGAAAAGAGTGCTTGAGAAAGCATGAACTCATAAAGAATAGGATCCAAAGATTTTATCATTCTAATCCCTAAATTAAAAAATCCAAAATTTATAAAGGATTTTAAACCTATTAGTTTGTATAATGTCTTTTTAACTTAACAATTATACAATACCTTTCTAATTTAATATTTTGTATTTCTTTTTTTTAAAATTTGTAAGGTCCTTCGAAATTTTTTCTAACCATTATTTAATTACATTTGATTGTTCATATTTATTTTCAAGTTGCTAAACTGTGATAATAACTGAATAAATGGAGTTCTTATATGCTAAAAATCATTTTGTCACTGACAATGAACAGAAACTCGTTAATGAAGCTGAAGTTGCCTGGATTCAAATTGCAAAACTTCCACAGTTTATATTTACAAACATCTACATGTCAGACACAGACCAAAGATAAGCTTCCCTTTCTGTAGCTCGTTTCTCATTCACTCTCTGGAACATTTTCTTCTCAAATCCTACAAAATAGACAGCAGAAAAGATCAGTTCTAATCAATATATATTCTATTTTGTTCCCAATCACCAAAATAGAAGAAACCTCATTTGACCACTGATTTCTCTCATGAGAAATCTGAAATGGACAGGACTGAGATAATATCATACCTAAAATTATACCTTATAGCAAAGATTGATCTTTCTTACCAGTCAACAAAAGTAAACAATTAATTCAGGTAAAATAGATATGAACCTACCATTACTCCGATCAACTCCATCCCAATGTCTTCCGGGCTTTATGCCATATCGATTGGGTGCAGCATCTAATCCTCTTTTTATCCAGCTGTGATTAGGAATCCCCTGGGGAACTATAAACCCTGATTCCTTCATCTTCTCACTGTCCCCTAGATCTTGAAGAACTGGTTCAGAATGCTTTCTCTACAACATGTTAAAATCAAAGAGTGTAAAGAATGTAACCTGTACAAAAGTGATTTCAATTCAAGATGTCAAACTAAGGCCGAAGTAGTTGAAATTTCAGCCAATAAAGTCTATCAAATTATCTATAATCTCAAGCAAGTAAACAAGCAATTCAATCAACTACCTTGACCAAATGTGCCATAGGATCACCCCATCTTAGTCTCTCCTTCAGCATTTTGTCAAGTTCTGGATCATCTCTGCGAAACAGAAGATAAACCAATGAACTGCCATATGCATGAACACAGAAGGGAAGAAAAGTATTTCGTGGTTTTTCTATAAATGTGCTCTGCTGACTGCCCTCTTTCCCCATATTTTGTGGTAATTAAAAGAATATATTTATGGCAACATAATAGATCGAACAACATCTCTTTGTGCTTATTTCTTTTTTTATAACCAATTTCTTCGTTTTCATGATACAACGATAATATTGTATATACGTGCATATGCATGTATACATAAAGGATGATATGTTATTCAAGGAAACGAAGAAAAAGGAAAGTAACCCCAAAAAATAGTTAAATGGACGAAGTAATAACTCGTAGATTTACATCACATGCACTATTCCTTGAATTGGCTAATCCAGAACTAATTGAATGACTAATGTCATTATATCAATTCCAAGATGTATGCCTGCTATATGTCTGCAACAAAGGTGAATTTAAACCTCTCTTTTGTTGCACTAGATGACTGATCTAACAAACAAACTCATTGCTCCCACCCGCCCTTTCTCTTCCCTATATATATGTATTTCCATTCACGACATGGAAATTCCATCAATGCCATCATGATTGAATGTTCACTATTACGTTCATGGCTAATTTAGTATGAAACTAAGGTTCTATTCTCCAGACCAATTTCCATGGGCTGGTGTCACAAGGAAAGCATTTTAATAAGAGTGATAAATAAAGTTGAAAAGAAAAAGTAAGATTCTGAATTGTTAAATGGCAATTTCAATCTTACCTGGTCCGTGCAAATGGCTTCTCCTTCTCAAGTTCTAATTCCTGCAGCCGAACTTCAGCTTCTCGCTTTTGAGCCAAGCCCTTGCCCCACTCTAACTTCTTTTCCTGACAGGACAAAATTCCCATGCTTAAAGAACAACCAAAAAACCAATGATAACAAATGCCCACATACTTGAAGGATGAAATACACAGCAAAAATTTAAATTCAATGAGAAAAAAGAAAAAGCAATTGCCAAACCATATCATATTCATGTAGATATAACTCTAATAATTATGATGCAAATTAATTGCATTGAAAACTCCTAGTCTCAACAGATGTATTTCTAATTCGAAGAAGGCTCGTATCTCCCCTGATTGCCACAGGTTCTCATGTTTCACTATTTGTTAAGAACTTTAATGATTCAACATTTCATTCTAACAAGCTTGGTAATGGAACTCCAATTCAAACATCAAACCTCTTTAGCAAATTTAGACATATTCACACACTAACTGCCAAAAGATAACACAAATTTCAACTCCATATCAAGCACTTCTTTTTTTCAGAACACTAAACTCTCATATGGCAACAAACAAAACTGAAGTCAAGCGCACGAGTGTGGGTGGTTAGTCCTGGCTAAATAGCTGTCAATTCTCACCACTTTCTGAAGTAGATAAAAGGTTCAAAGGAAAAGATATCTGATTTTATTGATTGCCGTAATCAGGGGTGCCTGTCCAGCACTTTTCACTCGCAATTGAGTTAGTTAAGTTCCGTGCATAAATTCTTTAATTATTTTTTTATTTTTTTATTTTTTAGGAGTGCAATGAGCCTAGCATACAAAAAGGGGAAGCTCATCTCCCCTAGACTCTATTTTGACCAAAGCTTGATGGGACTTGATCTCAAGTCTTGCCTGTCCTCACAGCAACAAAGACTAGGCTAATTAGTGTGGATACTTTCTTTACACCTATCAACTAGAAATACAATTAGAAGTATTCAGGAGAACCTTAATGAATATACAAGTTCTGCTTTATACATAATATAAGATCATATCATTAGTATCCTTTTGTTTCTTTCCAGTTTTATGATTTAACATAAAAGGCATAAATCTGCAGAAACCGCAAAAACTCCAATAGCTGAACAACAGTCTGTAAAAGCCCTCAAACTAACTCCAACAAACAACCAAAAACATGCTTTTATCACAAAGCATCATAGAAATCACAAGAAAAGAATAATAATCATTGAAAGCCACCATGATAACTAGCACAACTGGGACAACAATTTAAACATTTGAGACCAAGACAACTAAAGAACAACGATTAAGTATAAAATTTTAAGTACCTTAGGCTTTTCTTCTACTTTTTGCTTTGATTTCAAAAATTCCTCCTTCGATATTCGTTGCCCTGCAGTGTTTTATGAAGTATATGCATAAGCACAGATAAATAATTTACATACCTTATCTAGCTTGGACATGCTAGTTCCAAAGTTGATATTCTCATTTGACTATGCAGTACAGAAAATGGAAGACAAGTTGAGGATTATAGAAAGTTAGTTTGGACCTTGGACATTTGGACATCAAATTCATAATTGTAATTTTTTGGGTAATCATCCTTAATTTTTGTAGTTCGTCAAAGCCTTTGAGACAATATAAGATGAAAAAGCTCTTTTACCTACATTTTTGGAATTAGGTTTTTAAGAATTGGAATTGAAGTTATTAGGTTATTCTATAAAGTATTCTCTTTCTTTTATTCATTTCCATTTAAAAGTTGTTCTTTTTTCCCTCCTATATGAACATGCAGGTGCAGCATCAGTTACAAAATTTTTTTGTTTTTTTTAACTAACCTTTCTTATCACGATATATTGGTTCAGCACCCTGTCCAGTCATTTTAGGATCCATCTGTTGAAACCTGCCAAAATGCATATATGCTAAATTACAAAAATGAAATTCAATCTGCTAAAATATAAGCAAATGTCCATTTTATAATATTGAAAGAAATAGATCCTTGAGGAAAAAAATAAAGCATGGGATTTAAAAATCAGCCTGATCATTCACCCAATATTAACTGAAAGTAACATAAATGACTCGTAGTTCGGATCAAGTGATAACAAAATAAAATGGAATCACCAAAACCTTAAGTCCTATGAATATTTTTAAAGCAAACCAACTTATAATTTAGTAATGGAAAAGAGAAAGCTCTTTAAGAAGAAAGAAAAAAACAAGAAAAGAAAAAGAGTATCAAAATGAATATCGTTTCTTTCCCAAAACAAAAGGCACTGGCATTCTAATATTCAAGCAATAACGTTGATCACTAATGCAAGCGTTTGCAAGCTCAAAGCTGGAAATATTGTCCATCTCACAAGGTCAATTGAAAAGACAAGTGCAATCCCATCATCAAATATCACCAAGTCTACAATCCTAACATTGACAATGCAGTGGCAGCCTAGGCCACAAGGCTATCCTAGTTTTCTCCAATGCTACAAGCATATTTCATCATTAACAGGATGGTAGAAAACAAATTTATAAATATGGTTTTACATGTATATGGATGAAGAGAAAAATATGGAAAATGTTAGTAGACTTAAAATCAAAGGTGAAAAATGATCTCAAACAGCCTGTTTGTTTAATATATTTTCATTGTTTTGAGCCTTAGAACAGTGTTGCAGAAAAGTACAGGGCCAAACTTTGGTCCTGTTACCAAACTCATGCTAGCATTATTTACGAGAGTTTTACTATACTAAACAATACAAAGAAACCATTTTATTGTAAAATACCATATGTGTTCAAACATTGTATAACAACCTAGTTCATCTTGTCAAAGAATAGTTCAAGCTATTGAATTGTATAGGAACTTTTTCGGTTGTAAAGCAATCAACTTAAACAGCTTAAGAACCCAGGAATAGAATTTACAATCTCACATTTTGTGAGGGACAAACAAATCAAAGGGAGAAGGAAGATACAAATCAGCTACAACTATAAGACAATTAGCTTTCAGAGCTAGCTGGTTGATACCTAAATCTGGCTAATCAGACGTTAAATATGGTGTTCATTTTGAAGAAACCATAAAAATTTAACCAGAATTCGATTTATAAAGAACAACAGATACTTCACTGACCAGGAATGTGACTATATCAATGGAATAAATTAGCACAAAGAAGTAGTTTTATGTACTTAGAGAGTTGTTACCTCAATAAATCATCCTTCTTAAGTTTAGATATCTCTTCCTGGATATCACGGCCAGAAATCAAACCAGTTTTTGGCCGATCCTTTGAGGAAACCAGGTCAGATGAACCCTTCTTGTCATGGGAGCTACCATTCATAATTGAACTTGAATTCTTAGGCAACCGTTGTGGAGAAAGATCTAGTGATGCCAATTTATCAACACCTTTTCTGCTTTTCCTTGGCGGTGAGAGATCTGGCCCTGGGGAATTTTGGGGTTCAGGGGACGGAGTATGATGCCTTCTCCGCTGCTGTCTTGGAGGTGACAAATCAGCATCTTTCCCTATCCTTTGCTTACGGGGTGGTGACAAATCAGGAAGTGGACTGTTGGAATACCTGAGTTTTGTATCAGGTTCAGGTGATGGGGAATAATGGTGTTTTCGCGGCTGCCGAGGAGGTGAAAAGTCGGCAACTTCTCTTGAAGGCTTTGATGGTGGGTCTGGTGAAGGTGTATCATTTTGAATCCTTCGCTTACGAGGAGGTGACAAATCAGATTCGGGTGGTGGAATGTAGTGGCGTTTCTGTTGCTGCCATGGTGGTGACAAGTCTGCATCTTTACCCCCAGCCGAAGGCCTCTCACTAGGCTCAGGTGAGGGTGTATCGTTCCGTGTACTCTGCCTACAGGGTGGAGACATATCAGAATCTTGATTAACAAAATTCGCTCGTTTAGGAGAGAGTGAAACCCATCCACTTCCATCTTCAGCTATGGCATTATTAGCCCATTTGGCTCTAAGTTGCTCCAACCTCTTCATTCTTTTAACTTCTATATCTTCATCCACTTGAGGTTTTTCTTCATCTGCAGAACATTAAAGCATAAACCCATTAAATAAACAAAACTTAATTTAATATTGGATGAATTATACACCAAATGTTTGAGCATCGAATCCTTTTACCAGCTGAATCATTTTCCTCTTCTTCAAGTTTTATAGGCTTATGCCAGACAGGATCTTCATCCACAACCAAAACACCAGGCCCATCAGATTTCACTTTCTTCTTCTTCTTTTTCTTTTTCTTCTCTTCCTCATTGATGCTTTCATACCTTCTCAAATATTCTTTTAGGGACTTGGTTCCAGAAGTTTGAGCTGCCATAGTTCAGAATGTATGCCCTCACCGCTTCCTGGTATAAATGTTTAGGGATGGCAGCAGGGCAGGTACCCGCTAGAAATCAACTACCCGAATCTGAACCCAACAATCAATTTAAGTACCCCGAATCCGTTTAGAATTAACGGCATACTACCGAATCCGCTGAAAAACAGAAACTGAAAATGCAAAAAAATATATACATATATAATACATTAAAATTCAACCTGAAATAATAAAACAATTTAACCTGAAATGTTCTAGAACAACAGTACCAGTAATCTTAGAATAGAACAAAAGAATTAAAATTCAACAGAAATAAATAATACATACAATAAAAGACTAAAGAGAAAATTATAATTAGCTACAGCAAGTTTTTACAGTATTGGGAGAAAGAAAGTGAAGATAAATTCAACAAACAAAACTCCTCTTTCATCTAGGATAGAAATATAATAATTTCATCTAAAAAGTAAACCATTTTAGATGGAGAATAACAAATAAAACATGCACAAAACCCACAAATGAAAATAATAAAACAATAAACATATATCTCCTGGATAAAGCCACAAATTACTTCAACAAGACATTTAATAATTCCTCCTCTTTGTCTGTTTATATGTATTTATAAAAAAAAAAAAAAAAAAAAAAAAAAAAAAAATCTAAAAAGTACACCATTTTTAGATGGAGAATAACAAATAAAACATGCACAAAACGCCCACAAATGAAAAATAATAAAAACAATAAAACATATATCTCCTGGATAAAGCCACAAATTACTTCAAACAAGACATTTACATAATTCCTCCTCTTTGTCTGTTTATATGTAATTTATAAAAAAAACAAAAAAAAAAAAAAAAAAAAAAAAAAAAAAAAAAAAGGAAAAGGGACGAAGGAGAACTGGAAAAAATAAATAAATCGAGAACGAAATAAAACTCAAGAATACAAATGGAGGACCTGGCACTGGTACTAGGGTTGAAGAGCAGAGGACTGCTGCGCAGGCGACGGCGACGGCCACGCAAAGAAGCAACGGGGAGGGGTAGAAAAAGCAATAAGACTGAATGGGTAGAACCATAGAAGAAGAGAAGGAGCGGCGCTGATGTTTAGTTGGGAAGAATTTTGTTTTATTTGTATCGTTAAAATGCAATCTTAAGCTCAAACGACGTAGTTTTGTGTGTGGATTCATTTAAACCTCCTGCATCAAACTACGTCGTTTGACAATAAAATAGGTTATTGTTATTGTTATTATTACACTAACTATTAATTAAAAGGCTATAATTAATATTATAGTAATTGTAATAATAATAATATTAGGTAAAGTATTAAGTTTAATACCTTTTAATTAGAGAATATGTCTAGTAGGTTTATAACCTTTTTTAATTTTTAATAAATAAGTATCAAACTACAAAAGTTCAAATAAATTACTAACACACAAATACTATATATATAATTTTGTGTAATATATTTTATGTAAAAAAACTAAATTTAAATTATTAAGATACTATAATTCAATGTATCTATAATTCAATGTATATAATTTTATTAAATTTTTTCTTATGAATAAAATTATATTACTATCAAAATATTCATATATATATAATATTAATATATATAATATATATATATATAATATATATATATATATAAATAAAAAAAAAAAAAAAAAAAAAAAAAAAAGATATTAAGTAGTTTGGTGGCAACATAGCTTAATTGTTGTAGGGAGGTCATGGGTTCTATTCTAACATCTATGAAATATATTTGCTTAATGGATTGGGATAGCGGGGGTAACTGACCTCCTATACTTCAATTTCATTCTGTCCGTATAACTGAACCCCAAACTCAGTCCCATCCCATCTAAGCAGGTGGAGTTAAAATTAACCCACCCCTAATTAACATCAATGGTTAGGGTTAGGCTTTTTTTCTCCGTTTCAGTCCTAATAAACCTCCATTTTCCATCCTCCATCAATGGAGGTCACCACACAACCATTCTCACCACACAGGAAGCAAAATGGCAATATTGTGAAATCAATGCAGTTTACCAACCATTCCCAAAGCTTTAAATAAAATAACAAAAACCCAAACAAAAGTATAAAAGAAACCTATCAACCAGATCCAGATCAAAATTACGCGAAAACAATGGTCATATGAAAAGTAAAACAAATAGTTCATAAGAAACCAACCATACCTTCTCATAAGAAACCAAACAAATAGTTCATAAGAAACCAACAAATAGTTCATAAAAAACCCAAAATATTATATCTTCCTAGTTTCGACATCATCATGCGTATATATCTACATCTATTATATACTACATGAAAAAAAAAAAAAAAAAAAAAAAAAAAAAAAAAAACAAAAAAAAATGCAAGTTCTTATCAGCAATGGTAATAATAATAATCTGGAACTTTGATCTCTGCAATTTTAAACAATGTCCAATCACGTTCAAAAAAAAAAAAAAAAAAAAAAAAAGCAAGTTCTTATCAGCAATGGTAATAATAATCTGAACTTGATCTATGCAATTTACAATGTCCAATCAAGTTCATAGGCATTTACAATGCTTACAGTTTAATAAATTCATAATTCATTATTATTGATATCTAATTTGATAACCAAATCAGTTCCATTGATTCAATTCCTTTGAGTTTCCGTCAATCTAAAACATCATCTTTACATTTTCTTTTTATCAAATAAAATCGATTATTACACAACAAACTAGAACCTTGCAATTTGAATTTCCATTAAATGGCTAGAACCTTACTCTTATGCTTATTTCAAACCATTGATCACTTCTAGCTATTATTAAAGATGATTACTTCAGTTAATTAACTAACAACATTTTTCTAGGATTATCTTAACTCTCGTTTTCTCAATTTCTATGATTTTTGACTTTGAGGCATATTTGTCTAATTGTATCAATTAATATTTCAAGTATCTAATGGCATCTAATTGCAAAACTAATTACTTATGCATCACCTACACATCAGACGGATCATTCTGCCTACTATAACAATTTTCGGTCACTAAAGACGCCGCCGTCTACAGTGGTCGGAGGGGCGGTGGTTACCGAATTCTTCAAGATTCAAATTTTAGTCGTGGTTCATGTAGAACTCAACTCCCAAATCAATTTCACCATCCCATGCCTAATTTACCAAAATCCCAAAATTTTATTCAAGTTGAAACCTAAATTCTAAACCCCCTTCAATCTTCATTCAATTACCAAATCAATCAAGAATAAGTTAATCGAAAGCATAGGTTCGATTTTCGACCAACCTTAGTAAAGAGAATTGCCGGATATGCTTGAGCTCGCTGGAAAGTCGAGAAAAAGAGAATTGTCGAAGGAGGTTTATTTTCCTTCAAATTCTCACTATTGCCAGGCAAATTTCACACAAGCCAAACACAAATACTGAGCAGTTGAACAAAATAGTTGATTTGTGAATGAAATTCAAACTCACTCTCTAACTCTCATGGTGAGTCCGTTTGGGTAGACTGATATGACGAATCCTCTCAACACAACATGATTGTATTAGAAATTTGAAGTACTAATTTTAAATAAGAATAGGAATAAGAAAAGTTTGAATTGAAGAAGAGGGAGGCGGTGCAGCGATGTGGGTGTTGAAAACCGGTGGAATCGGTGAATGACTGATATTATAATCGGTCGGGTCGGATTCAAATTATTTCTAGTGTCACTTCTATGAAGCAGATTTGAATCAAGTTACTTGAATTCAGATCATGAAGCGTGCCACTTAGTTTAAAAATTAAAGGAAAAAGAAAATTCAGATTTCATTTTTTTAGTGGCTAGTTTTTTCTAAGGTTTTTTTTTTTTTTTACATAATTTAAGTTTTATGGTAATTAACTTTTTCAATAATAAATTTGAGATTTTTTTTCTAAGAACCATAATAAATTTGATATTTCAACCCTCTATAAAAAATCAAATTTGCTACAATGCGTGATGTCATTAGTTAATATTAAATATATTTATATAGTTTTTGTTTTCATATTGCATTTATGGTAGTAAAACGTTTTTGTAGATAAATAGATTCTTCGGTAAAATTATCTATTTTAGTAGTTGTTAGATGTTTTAATAACTTATAAAGGTAAGTTAAAAGCTGTTACTGGACAATGCTGAGATTTCTCATAAGTTTCCATTAAATTTTTTTGCAATAACCGTCACAACTTAAGATGACAGTAAATACACCGCAACTTGACAATCACATTGTACTTGAATTTGCCTCTATCCCTTCTCCCACACAATAGTCAAGGCTTTATAAATCACCCAAAGTTCAGCATCAATAGCATAATAAATGCCCAATGCCGATGAGAAGCCAAACTGCCATTTCCCATTCGAAGAACGAAAAGTCCAACATAAGCAGCTAAACCCAGGTGACCAGAGGCACTCCCATATGCCCCTATTAGTAGGGTTCCAAGAAATCAGCATAAACGAAGAACCATGAGGAGATCTCATTACATCAGTGTCCTTATCCTAAGCTTGACACACTTCAACACTTTCGACTATAAGAAATTATAAGAAAGCTCAACTGCATTCAAAGGATCAAAGGTTCTAGCATTTCTTGACTTCCAAATCCACCACAAGCACATGACTAAAGTAACACCCCAAGAAACACCAACAGAGGTGATCCCTAATGAAGAAAGATTTGATAATAACCATTGTCAAAGTGAACTAGTAGCAAAATCAGTACAGAAATCATGAACAGGGAAAAAAAAATCCATACTTATTGGGTGAGATAATAATCATGCAATACATATAGTACGATTTCGCTTGAGAATGGCAGTTATAAGAAGCATCAGCAGTAATTCCTCTTCTACATCTCTCAAAATTACGTAAAATCTTCTCACGAGCTACCTGATATAAAAATAAACAAATCCTATGTGGCATATGGACTTTCAATATGAGCTTCCATAAATTGGAAATAGGAGATAAACCATGATTGACCAGCAAACTATATGCAGATTTCACCATAAAGAACCAGAAGTTGCACAACCTAAATTATATTATCCTACTAGTCTTCATTAGTACAAAGGACTTGTCATTTTAAATTATCAAAGAATCAGGCAATTTATGATAGACCCAGCCCAAAGCCCCTCAAGGTTTACTCAAGGAGACATAAGGAAGGAGGAGCTGGCATCAATATAGGAAAAGCTGCCTTAGAATTATGGTTAGAATCAAAACCAGCCTCTGTGATAGAGACAGATATCCCATCTAGTAACAACCAACTCAACTCTAATTGATAAAAGGAGGGATGTGATTATAGGAGAGCATCTTCAGAAAAGTTGTGATTACTGAGCAGGATTTTCTGCTAGGGAAACCTTCATGTCTCCTAGCTTGATTCTCTTTGGATCAAGAATTTTCTATCTTATGTTATTTCTTTTTCTTGAGAGAGTACCTGTAACCAGCCGAGTTGATCTTCAATTTCTTCCACTCTATTCTGGAATTTTTTTTACATTAATCAAATACAACAGTTCAAGTTCTTCTTCCCTAAATTTCTCTTTGGATTGATTTTTTCTATTGTTCTCTACTGGATATTTGTACTTTTAGTTCCTTACTATATCAATTTACCTTCCAAAAGATCCCATCTTCATTCCCTAGAAACATCCTAATGGTGGCGAACATTTAGAGACTTGGTAAAATCGTTAAAAGGAGTAGTAGCATGACCGACCAAAGGTCCATAAGGCAAACAAGAAGCAGTCCAAAAATTAGGAGCAATTCCACTTCTAACATCCTTAACAATGCCCTTTAAACCACTTCTGATACCTCACCAAATATGAGAGCCAAACCGAACCGATTGACAATCCCAAGAGAAACGACCATGAAAATATTTGTTACTAAAAACTTTAACCTAGAGCGAATTAGCATCCCCACTAATCCACCGCCCCAGCTTACCCAATAACCCCAGCTTACCCAGTAAAGCCATATTCATAATCCTCATATTATGGACCCCTAAGCCCCTATTGACGCGGGGATGCTGAATTGTTTGCCAATTCACAAGGTGAACTCGATTGGACCTATCTAAACCTTTCCAAATAAAATTCCTACAATTCTCTCCATTTCATTACAAAGAGAAATAGGAAGTAAACACATTTGCATAGTAGACGCATGGATGGAGGAGAGAACTGATTGTAACATAATGATCCGGTCAGCCATAAACAAAAAATTAGCTTTCCACCTTGTCAACTTCTGCTTCATTTGATCTAAAATATAAGAAAAATTATCCTACTTACCCTCTTTTGACGAATCAAGACACCTAAATATTTGCCCATATCTTAGGTTAACGGGATACCAAAACTCTTACATAATCCATCAGTTATTTGACTTTCAACTGAAGAAGACAATAAAAACGAGATTTCTGAAAAATTTTCTGATCTGAAGCTATAGAAAATCTGGTTAAAATATCCATGATGATACCCATCTAGGATTTTGAAGCTTCCGCAAAGAGAATCATGTCCTCGGTAAAAAATAAATGAGACAAATTAGGGGCCTACAAGATAAAGGAATGGATTGTCAAACTACATTAGACACACCTTGCTGAATAACATGCGCCAAATATTTAATCCACAAAATAATTAAGTATGGAGAAATAGAATCTTCTTGTCGAATACCCCCACTTGCCATTTAAAAACTTTAATTTTAAAAAATATTTAATATTTGATTGTAATATCTTATAATCTATAATATTATATATATAATTTAAAAACCAATATTTAATATTTGATTGGTAATAATCTTATATCTATAATATTCATATATATATATATATAATATATTATTATATTAATATATATATATATATATATAATATATATATATATATAATCTGTCTAATCTAACGGAAATCGGTGGGGAAATATTAGCATTTTTCAAAAAATGCCCCTACTAAATTTATGGATGATAAAAAATATCAATTAAAGATTTTAAAATTTGATTGGGTTGAAAAAATAAAGATTAAGTTTAATTTTAATTGATCATATTTAATTTCCTATTTACATCTAAATTTATTATATAAAATAAAAAAATTATATATTATATACTATATAACGTATATTCAATATGAAATAAAAAATTATATTATATACTATATAACGTATATTCAATATGATAAGAATATAATATTTTTAAGAATTTTAATTTTATTGGTTGAAAAAATAAAGATAATTTAACTGTAATTTATCATATTAATTTCCTATTTAAACCTAAATTCTATTGTATAAACTAAGAAATTATATTATATACTAAATAAGATAAAGGATTTAATTTTATTCTAAAAGATAAAGGAAATTTGATCTTGATTTATTATGTTCTACTATACTAGTCTTTTTTTAACATGCATTAAACATTTTTGTACTCGTTGTTTTTACACGTTAATTAATTTTTTATTTATAATTTTTATATAATATAATTATTAATTTTTTAATCTAATTTTAGTTATCATTATTTATTATTAAAATTTAAAATCTAATTTTAATTGTCATGATTTATTATTATATTTCTATTTTTTAGTAAATGCATTTGATATATTATTTGATTGTCTTAAAAATTTTTACATGTGTTACATATGCATGTTTCTCGTCACATGTTACTTGTTGTTCTTAATTATTTTTTTTAATCTTTTTTTAATTTATTTTATTTATTTTGATCTATCTGTGTTGCTTATATTTGCATAAACCAGCAAAGTAAATAATAAGTTATTGACATAAAGATAAATAGTTTTATTTTCTTCATTCAATTTATAAATATTAACTTATATAAATTGTACAATTTTATTATGCATAAACACATTATTTGTCTCGTTGTCCCTCTCGAAGTTTCTTATGAAATTTAGAAGATAAGTTCATTGTAACATTTAAATGGCTATTGTTAGTTTTTAATTTTTATAATACTATTGATTAATATTTTGAATATATTGAAAATTATTTTTGCAATTTTTTTTGGATATATTTACCTAAAATCATCTAATATTATTTTTCTAAAAATCCAGTATATTTCCTTTTGTAAGGTTCAATGAAATTAAACTTAAAAACGGTCTAACAATAAAAAATACCCCCAACTTTGCGTCTTGTAACAATTACACCATAAATTAAACCTAACCCGTCAAACATCCTTTTGTAATTTTTTGTCAATATTGCACTCTAATTTTGAATCAGTCAAAATCAATGGTAAAATATAATATATGTGAGATCTACACAAAAGACTTGAGTTCATTTAAACATGAGATGAGTTAAGTGAAACTATGTATTTCACCTAATCAACACCATACCAACACCATCCTTCATCTCCCTCCCCCTAAACAAAATTGCAATTGGGATGCTTGAGGAGTTAAGCTGAATTTAAGATGTAATTATTATATGACTCAAAATTTGAAGTATTTTTTATAGTTAGATCCTTAGAGACTAACACTCTAATACTCCATTATTTTTGCGGTGTAGCAAGAGGTATCATTATGTTCAACATTAGTTGTTGGTTTTCTATATTGTTGTCTACTACAAAATTAGTAAATTAGAAAAAAAAAAAAAAACATAACATAGTAATGTAGTTTTATATTAATTATAATTTATTAAATAAATAAATATCTAAATAAAAATCAAAAATATAAAGCAGATAAATATTTAGATGATACATTGCATTCATATAAATAAAAAAAAAATCATAA